GGGTTCGAGACCCACCTGGGCAGGCGAGACCTCATCTCTACAATAAATCAAAAATTAGCCAGGTGTGGTAGCGTGCACCTGTAGTTCCAGCAACTCGGAAGGCTGAGGCAGAAGAATCGCCGGAGCCCAGCAGGTAGAGGCTGCGGTGGCCGGGAGCGGCCACTGCACTCCAGTCTGGGCGACAGTGAGACTCCAACTAAGGCATCATCCAGGAGACACCAGGCGTGAGCATCCAGCCGGCCTCTCTCAGTGGAGTTGCGTGAACCATTCTTACTTTTCCCAGTGTTGGTGTGTGACAACATGCACGGAGTGTTGCCAGGCAGGGATGCTCTCCTGAGTCTTGGTGTCCAGGGTTTTTACTGGGGGCGGACACACAGGCCTGGACCTTTGTGGCTCAGTCCCCAGCCCCTCCAGAGGTCAAGCTGATGTCACATAGCCCAAGGCCCCAGCGTAAATCATAGTGTTGGCATAGATACTCCTTGTGGCCCACGCTCCCAGACACTCTTATAAGGCTGGTCATTCCAAGGATTTATAGGTGTCCTCCCAGGAGCCAGGCAAGGGCCAAGTCTTTCTTTGGAAAGTGCAGGGCTTGGACAACCAGTCCTGCTGAGTTAACCCTTTACGCACAAGGGTCCAAATGTTTTTGGCATTTGCTGTCTTGCATCTCCCGTTGGTGTTCCTCCCTGATGACCACCACCAGGGGCCACCAGCAGATGGAGGCCAGCCCCCCACCAGCTTGTTCTCCTCTTATCCCAGAACTCTAGCTAGATTCCCAAGTTTCATTCTTGTCGGCCCAGCTGGAGTCCTGTGATCATCCCAGACCCAGTGACTGGTCCATATCTGTTGAGCCAGGCTGGCGTCACATGCCCACCCAAAGCAGAGGGACAGAGCCAGGCTGCCAGGCCCCACTAGAGCTCAGGGGCAAGATGTTCCCTGAATGGGAAGTTGGAGAGGTGAAAAGAAGATGGAGGTTGGGATGCCACAGTACAGCTGGGCAATGAAATTCTGAATACTTTTATCTGAGAAGTCAACCTGCAGACCCTCAACCAGAGTTAACTGAGCACCTACTACATGCCAAGAACTTTTATTGGGGCTGGGGATAAATGGCGGATAAAAACAGACAGGGTCCTGCCACAGTCTGGGCAGAAGCTGGCACCCTGCAGTCCGCGGGCCAGACGGCCACTTTTGTCAAAGCCCACCAGTTAGGGTGTCATCTGTGGCCACATTTGTGATCTGTGGCTGTGTGGAGTAGGTGGAACAGAGCCAGTGTGGTCTGCAGCGTCTCAGACACTTCCTGGCTGGCCCTTGAAGAAAAAATTGCCCTTCCTGGGGGCTGGGCATGGGGTGCGGTTTGATAGGCATCCGTTCATGAATCCACAAAGAAAGGTGATCAATGCTATGCATGAGCACAGGAGGAAGGTACCAGAATAGATACAGAATCGGATGGAGAGGAAAGAATCAAGTGGCATTGTGTGGCACTGACCAGAAAATAACAGGGCAGGGATTTCAGAGCCGCTCTCACTTAGCAGGGGGAGGGCGCTCTTGTGAAACGTTGTCAGTGACTGTGTGTGCACCTGTCACTCCAACCTGAATTGCTGAAAGCGCATCTCACACAAAGGACCTTGGACTAAGAAACACTGTCCCACAGAATAGGAGTGGCTATCGTGTCTCTGCAGAGGGTTCCTTTAGCAAAAAAAAAAAAATCATTGAGGGGGTTTGCCATCTACCTGTCACTGTCAGCTGATCACAAATGGCAACATTTAATCTGAAAACCCTGCAAAGTAGGGACCGTTGTCAAGGCGAGGACACACAGCTGGTAGCTAGAGGAGTTGGGATTTGAACCCAAGAACTCAGGCCCCCCTAGGAGTGCCAGGCCTTAGCCTCCCGCCATGGGAGCCAGCCATTCTGCCACCCTTCATGTCCCTCTAGGTGAAGCCACTGCTGCAGGTGACGCGGCAGGACGAGGTGCTGCAGGCGCGGGCCCAGGAGCTGCAGAAAGTGCAGGAGCTGCAGCAGCAGAGCGCCCGGGAAGTGAGCGAGCTCCAGGGCCGGGTGACACAGGTGAGGGGCAGGGACGTGGGGGCGGGACCAGGGTGGCGTGTGAGGGGCGGGGTTATGGGGCGTGGCCAGAGTAGAGCCGCGTATGAGGGGCGGGGCCGCGGGTGGGACTGTGGACTGAGCCAGAGTGCGAGGGGTGGGGCCAGGGTGGAGCCATGGCATGGGGGCGGGGCTGTGGGTGGAACCAGGTGTAGGGGGCGGGGCCAGATTGGAGCCAGGATTTGAGGAGTGGGGCCATGGGCAGGGCTCTGGATGGAGGCAGGGTGTGAAGGGCAGGGCCATGGGAAAGGGCTGTGAGTAGAGCCAGGGTGTGAGGGGCGTGGCCAGAGCGGAGCCGGGAATAAGGGGCGGGGCGTGGCAGATGGGGCTGTGGACAGAGCCAGGGTGTGAGGGGCGGGGCCGTGGGTGAGGCCAAAGTGGAGCCATGACACAAGGGGAGAGGCGGTGGGTGGAGCCTGGTGTAGGGGTGGCACTGAGGCGTGGCCAGAGTGGAGCCAGGCT